TTCACAGATACTACACTACTGATTCAATCAGTTCTCATAAGAAGGAAGTGACTTTCTACTTTTTAAAAAATAGGATAATGAAATATAGCATTTTTTTTGCAGCATAGTTTTGCAGCAAGGAGCTGGAGCTGGTTGTTAGCTGTAAGTAACCTGAAATCTACCCACTTCAGTATCAGCAAAGCTCCTCAGCCTGCAGCTTTTATGGACCTCAAAGGCCAGGACTGAAAGACCAATGTAAACCAAGTTTAAACCTACAAACTCAGTATTGTCTGTAGACATCTAAATATTAAAAACTTGGTATCTACTCCAATGAGTACAGTCGTCAACTGTGGTACTGAGAGAGTGTATGTAGAGCCTGATCTCTGACAGTTATGGCTGCTAACAACATTTTTAAAGCACAATAAACCTGGACGGCCTTCTAGAAATTCTTCTAACCATTCGAGTCAAATCAATACCTGTTCCACTCTAACAGCTCGGCAAAGCAGGCTGAGCAAATTCCCGTGATGCCGAGTCCCTGCGCGGTCCCCCAGGAGAGTCAGCCAATGGGGCTTCTTCGCCTGGCTTGAGTTCAGCTGCTTCCCGGTTCTCCGTCTCACTGCAGACCCCCTTCATAATTTCAGTAGGACCCACTGTCTCAGAGCAAAGGTCAGAGGCACTCCGAGGAAGGCGGGCACAGTGCTGGGCAGCCTGGTGCTGTCACCCACCTTGCCGCAGGGGGCCCCACAGAAATCTCCCCGGGCCTGTTTTTATGGGGATTGGTTGCTCAATTCTCAAGGCCACCTTGTGATTTTTCACTGAAAGTAGGTTATATTCTTAGGTTGCTGCAAAGTAATGTCCTTTTTTAAAACATGGAAGATTTATTCACAGTGATATTAAAACTGCAGCAACTGTAGGCTTGGCCCCCATAACTAATTTATCTATTGTAAGATAGCAAGGAAGCAAAGACTCTTATCTTTTATAGTCAAGTTATTATAACAGCTGATATCTACAGGGGAAAGAGATATAAACATATATATTCTGAATATGAATGTGATGCGTTCAATCCTTGCGTGATATCAATGCTTGTGTGATAAAGCGAGTTTTAAAGATGAACTGGGATCTCTTTATGCAAGGGTATGTCACCATGAAGCATAACATCAAAAATAACATGAACACTTCTGCAATAAATCATCAGGAACTGCTTAAATTTAAAGCAGTTTTCTAATTATATGTAAGCATGGTGACCCCTCAGAAAGTTCCCCCCATTCACTTTTCACTAACCTGTTGTGCAGATTTATGGCCTAAACATATTGGTGAGAACACAGTGCTATAGAAAATATTGTCATCAGTTCAACAGGCAGCTCACCAAGGGGGTGGATGAGTTAATATTTAAAATCTGTATGTGCCATGCATGCGCTCCGCACAGACGTTAACGAGTATTAAAACACTAATGTTCTAAGACAGCGGTTCTCAACTTGTGGGTCGCGAACCCTTTGGAGGTTGAACGACCCTTTCACAGGGGTCGCCTAAGACCATCGGAAAACAAAAAGATACTTACATTATGATTCATAACAGTAGCAAAATTAGTTATAGAGTAGCAACGAAAATAATTTTATGGTTGGCGGTCACAACAACATGAGGAGCTGTATTAAGGGGTCGCGGCATTAGGAAGGTTGAGAACCACTGTAAGAACATGTTCTCTGAAAGGCAAAGCCTGGATGCTAGCAACCACAAATTAGGTACCATCAAGGTCAGGAAAATCTAGGCTGAATTAAAGAGAAAAAATTCCCACTCCTTCTACCCCAAGGCATTTTGGTAAACCCAAAGAATCACCTGATTTTAACATTTCTGTTCAGATATACAGGGATGTTTTTGATGTTTCATATGTATTATTACAGATAAACCGCAGGAAAGTAAAGTTCCTACAACGTAGGAGAGAACAGCAATCTATCTTAAATACTTATAATTCTTACTATTTTTGTACTGCATTGATTTAACTTTGCTTTTGCCCCATAAAATTGAACCTTCCCTCTAGTTTAATGTCTTTTATAAAATGTGGAAACTTGTTAATGGAGTTTATTCATGGTACACTCAGTTCCGTTCTTTTTCACATCTGTAAATTTTGCCTTTCATTTTGGGAGAATAGCCAACCTTTCAGCTGGCTAAACAAAAATGAGAAACTGAGGAACCAAAAAGAGCAGTTTTGCTACACTACATTCCTTTGTCACGCCACATTCAACCACAGCGCAAACACTACTCCACTCACAGACGATAACCACCAAAGGCAGCCCTATGACACAGTATACTGAAGGCACAGTTCCTTTCTTCTTGAATTTACTGTGAAATGAAGAAATTATACTGCTACAAATGCAGCGGAGGCAGTCTTCGAAGAGTGGTGGCAAAGTCGTTGAGGTGAGGTCTCGGGGGGGAATGGCAGCTATGAGAGAGCCCATCTCTCAGAGCCCCGCCCAGCTCCCCGCCTCTGCTGTGAAGGCTCCTGCCCTGAGCCCGGCAGGTCTCTGGCACCACAGTACAGACTGAAGCCTGCACCTTTCCCTGCATCACTGTGGTCACATCCTGGGGGAGTCTGATCTTTCAGACCTGTATGTCTCAACTTTCTAGTCTGATAATAAGTTCCCCCAAATTAAATTATGTAAATTAATAAATATAAATTGCCTGTGTCTGGAATTTCTCTATATTCGAACAGTACAACCTGGCGCTGAATGTCATGTAATCAATATTTGCTGAGGGACTAAAATTGACTCTCATTTCTTTATTACTTCCCTTTTGTTTAAAATGAAACATATTACCGATTATAAATATAAGACAGGTTTTGCAAGTAAAACGATACTACCAAGACTGCTTAATAAATAAAATTTCTGTTGTCTAGTATTTCAACTTCTTTTTAAAGACATGGACACAGAGGTTCTAATCGAAATTATGTAGTCATATTACTTCACAAAAGCCAAAAAAGATTAGTCAACTGAAGATCTTATAAACCTATCTAAAACTAAATTCTTAATGTATCCCAGACTGGAAGAAAAATGAACAGTCTTCCAGAATCTGATTGTCAAAATTATATTTCGGATACAGATCAACTTTGTACCCACAGCTACAGTCAGGAATGGATAAAGGCTATATAGATAGCAGCTTTGTTCTATGTCTGTCAGCAAAATTTGACACCATATCCTTCAACCTCTGATCCCTTTCAAGATACTCTCAGTCCCGGGTGAATGCAGATCACAAAGAACAGCCCACTGCAGCTTATTTAGCCATGTGTGATTTCAACAATGCCCCCACCCCCACCTAGGTCTGACTTACCAGCTACACTACCATTAACTGAACTGACCAACCATGCAGGATAATGTGTGCTACAGTATTTGCTTTGAAACAACAATGGTGCTTTACAGACTATAAGAAGGAATGACAAATAGCCCGGAGATCTTCTTTGTAAATGACATACAGAATAAATATAAACACCAGAATCAAGTGGAATCAAAAGTGGCATTACCCTAAAGTGACTGAAAACAAAAAAACAGAATATCTTTTTTACCAAAATGCTGTGGTTTCTATGACATGCCATCAAGATATTTTCCATCCGTGCACAAATCCCTCTCCAGGGCTCGCTTTTACAATGGGAGGTCACTGTTGGCGGCACCACTGAGAGCCTAATCAAAATGTGAGAGCATCTGTCACGTTCACATTGCACGCCCAGGCTCTGCTGCACACACTTGAGCCTCCGGCACAGCAAAACGGATGTTGAGTGATGCAGTCTATGGTGTTGTGATGTCATAGTGCATTTCAAAGGCATCTTTACACAAGAAAGGATTCTATTTTAATAACTCAGTGCAATATGTATGATGTGTATAATCAATAGAAATAAAATCTTCTACTGGCATTTTCGCCAGAGGCTATACTCTGCCCACAGGCACATCTCCATTGTCTAAAACATGGAAATGAGGAAGGGTGCATTTAGGATCTGTAAACCAATGTGTTCTGTCCAGTTACCGTCTCTTTAAATATTTACCATGACTCTTTTCCCCCCCTACTGCAGCAGTACAAATAAAAGGTTGTAAGTACTTGCGGAGCTCAATGTCAGGGAAGTTTTCGTTGTGAGGTGGCGAGTCAGGCACAAAGGAATTCAGTGAGTTTTCCAACGACACAGGCAATAGGCACCACCCAAGCATGCTTCCTCCCCAGTTTAATCTCGACATTTCTGGCTGCTCTGTACATGGCTCAGAGGGTCCTGCTCCACACAAGCACTTGCTCAGCTGTGAAGTGCTATCTTTTCATTTATAAATGGAAACAATACACGTTAGGTGGTAACTGGCTTCTTCGTGCATCACCTGTAAAGAATACTCCTGTTATCGCAACAGAAAAGCCCAGCTGCTTGGTGGGAGAGACAACCGCAACCATCCTTGCCGGGAGGTATGGGCTGCTTCCTTGTAAGCTGCCTCCCGGACAGCTGTCATTATCTCAGGTGTCCGTCCCTCCCCCAAATGCCAAAGGTTAGTGTACACTTGGAAACTAATTGAGGAAAGACAGAAAAGAGAATAATGTGTTATTTTTGTTTGTTTCAAATATAGACCCGAGGGGCTGTATAGTAGAAATGAGAAGACAGATATGGAAGACGAAAAATCTGTTACATTCATTGCTAATACTGACTGAAAGAAAACTGATTGTATTCTATATGCCAGATATGTAATATACATCATCTCATATAATCCTACAGGAATCCTGCAAAATAGGTACCATCTATATCTTACGGCTGAAAAATCTATGGCAAAAAGGTGAAATGACTCACCCAATGTCACCCAACGAGGGTATGTAGATTCTAGGCCTGACAGATCTTCATGGCAAAAGCCCTGTGTGTGTCTCCTGAGAATGTTCTGACTTTATAAATACTGTTTATACTGACCAGGGATCCACACACTTTTCCTTAGAGGGCTAAATTCTAAGTATTTGAGGCTTTGTGGGCCACACAGTCTCTGTTGCACCCACATAGTTAAGTGCAAAAGCAGTCACAGGCACTCCGTAAACAGATGGGTACGGATGTTCTCCAACAAAACCAGGGGCCAGTTTGCCGACTGCCGGTACAGAACAGGGGTTGGCAAACTGCAGAGCTGGGCCAGGTCCACCCCACCAGCGGTTTTTGTAAAAAAAAGCTTTATTTTTTTATGACCGAGATCTAGCCCATCATCTAGACTATTTCTAGACAGTGAAGAGTAATTCACCAAGCTAAAATAATGCCCTTGTTTCACAGAAGCATTCCTGGGAGCATCCAGTGCTCTTTATTCTAAGTTTCCCTTACAAACAACATTCTGACTCCTAAATTCATAATCTGTGGTCCCTGGGATCCAGCCCTCAGGTGGGAGAGTCCTGATAATCACCTGGTGCCTGACAGGTGATTTCTCACTGTAAAGGAACAGATACATTTTGTGTCATCAATCAGTAAGTGATTCAGTTTCCAGAAGACTCAGTACCTTTGGGGAACTGAAAAAATAAAGTGGAGATTCTTAATCTGAGAGAATTCTTAACCTGGTGACCAGAGACTGAGCTTGTGGTGCCATGGCAATGCATTCATTCATTCATTCATTCATTCAAAGAGTTTATGGAATGCCCACTCTGTGCCAGGCAGAAATCCATATGAACTTCAAACTGAAAAGACTAACTCACTGCACTTGAGTTACATATATATATAAAATACTTTATATAGAGTAAATCTAGGTGGTTATTTATGACACCACAAGACCTGAGCTAGAACACAACCCACTTTCAAGTGGACAGATTAACATAGACAAACTGTGTTGCTTTGACAGCTACTGCAGTAAGGTCCCTCAGACAAGAGGCTCTGTCTTCCTGCCAAAAGTTGCAGTTATGGGACTGTGAGGACAGGGACCGTGCTGGCTCAATGCCCAGAAACAGCAAGAGCTCCCCAAATACCTGTCGTTGGTATTACTGTGGATCACCTCACTGCTCCTGACAGGCTGAGGTGTGAATGGCCCGGCCTAACAGTCAGATTTTGTAACTCAGTGTTATCAAGATCAAACGCTCCTGCATACCTGGACTGTTTGATAATCGGAAGCATCAATTCCTTTCACAGTCACCTCTCGGAAGACTCTTGGCTCCAGTTCCTCTTTGGTAAGATCACAGTGATAAATGATGCCTAGAAGGAAGCAGAAGCCTTCATTTAGTCACAAAAGCACTAGATACACGGGGGACAAGGATCACAAAGCGCAGTTGGACGCCATGAGTAGAAAAAGAGGAGGGTTAGGGAGTATGAGAAGAGGCAAAAAACCTAGCTGTGGAAACTTACAGGTCACGTAAGAGTAGAGGTAAAAAATATGGGAAACTTCATGTAGGGAGGGCCATTTTATCTAAGAGCTGATTCAGACTGAAAACACAAATGATTTGCCCAAATTCAACAGCCAATCAGGGGTCTCTTGATGGGAACTATGGGGCTCCTGCTATCTGACACCCACTCATTCATGGACTCACATGTGGGCAGTAATCAGGGGACCAAGATGATCTGGTAGCCATTTCAGAATTGCTTTCTAAATTTGGATTATCCCAAATTGATGAATATGCACCAAGAATTCCAGCTTATTTAAACACTAATTAAAATTCCATTTCCTGAATTTAATGCTACTACACTCTAACATTTAAGAACTAAATCAAGGAAACAATAAGGAAGACAATTCCTACCATTTGAAAACAACACTGCCATTGTTTATGAAACAGAATTAGTCACCCAGGGCGGGTGATATGAAAACAGCCCTCCCACGTAATACTTTAAACATAGGCTATCAAGTATATGAAAAATCGATTTAGCAATCCCAATACTTGCTGGAAAACCAGAAACCAAACCCTACTCCCACGGGGCACATTCAGATTGATTCATCCGGTATTAAAACAGCGGCTTTCTTTCTTCTCATCTCCTGTGCGTACTCGTATGCACTTTACTAACAATTAAGAAACAATACTGTGCCCCAAACTGGCAGAGAATAGTACATTTAGATTCCTTAATAGCATGACTGCGAATCCCTACAAACGTTACCTCAATTCTCATGCTCAGAGGCAAATAATTTTAAGGTACTATAAAGGGTGTATATTGACATAGTCAATGGGAAGATACGTAACACTATTGAAGTATTGGCCCTCTTAGTTTCCTACTTGGATATTTGTTGAAATATATCTTTGTATATGAAGTACACCCAAACTACATTCTGGACATGCTGTACACTGGATGCTCTATTTGCCGAGATGGATGTAATCTTGAAGGCAAAGGCTGTCTTCAGACATATGTTAATTCTGGGAAAGCTTCTTCATCAGTACCTGCCCCGACTTCCTCAAAATCAAAAACATCTGAATCCTTGACGAAAAACCAAACCAAACCCAAACAACTATAAAAAAGAGACTGCAAACCAAGCATGCGCCATTTGAGCACCTGACTCACCCTGGTATCACTGCTACCTCTAGTACAGTGAGTGACAAAGGACCTGGGGGCCAGGATTCCCAGCTTTGACAGTTACTGGGTCAGTGAGTTTTAGACAAGTCACCAAAGTATTAGAATGTGAAAGACAATGAACAGGAAACATACTCTAAGTGCCCATTTATCTAGAAAAGATTGAGACATCAAATGCTCTAACAGCATAATGAAATACGTATACAATAAGGGCTGGCTACTGTTTAAAGAATGGGTGGCAAGTGTCTGACTTCTACTCTTCTGTTTTGTGCAGAAGTGGCACCTTGAGGAAGGCTGGGTTAAACCTGAAGGTACCAGTGCTTGATATATTTGATCAATACTTTCTATGTACAGATCCATGTGGGTAAGCCCAGGTCTGCCCATTGCACATTCACATGGGAATTTGAATCCTTATAACCTAGTGGTGCTTTGTGTCCTGTCTTATTTGGCTTGGTAAGTACAAGGAAGGTGGGGTTTGGAGAAAACATCCTAGAATCATGAACCAAAGAGGACTGGTTAGGTGAGCTCCAAGAAATCAATTTCAAAGTTTAAAGGTGGAAGAGAGAATTGGATTAAGGATTATGGAAGTCCTTTAAAGCCAGAAGAGGTATCTGGATTTGAGGAAATGGGTCTCCTGATGAAAACAGTGCTTTAATAAGGCTATTCCCACAATAGGGAAGAGGCAGAGATGACCAGTGGGGATACTTTTGCTATAATCCAATACAAATGTAAGAAGATAAAAGAAATGGGAGTTAGGAGGAACGGGCAACTCTAGGAGAAACTACGAAAGAATCAGAGGGCTATGAAAAATTCGGTATGTAAAGAGAAAGCAAAGGAACTTTGCAAAAGATGACTCATGTAGATACTGTTTTATCTGATTACAGGTTGGGTTTTAAGGTTTTTAAAAGAAAAAAAACAAACAAAAACAAGTCTCTTCGGAATTTTTTATGCTCCTTGGTATTTACCCAAAGGAGTTGAAAACTTATTTACGTCCCCACAAAAACCTGCACATGGATGTTTATAGCAGCTTTATTCAAGAGTGCCAAAACTTGGAAGCAACCAAGATGTCCTTCAGTGGGTGAATGGATACATAAAGTATGGTACATCCAGACAATGGGATATAAGCTATCAAGCCATGAAAAGACACAAAGCAATCTTAAGTGCTTATTACCAAGTGAAACAAGCCAATCTGAAAAGGCTACATACTATATCATTCCAACTATATGACATTCTGGAAAAGGCAAAACTATATAGTGCAAAGATCAGTGGTTGCCAGAGACTGGGAGATGGGGGAGGGCCACAAAAGCAGAGCACAGAGGGTTGTTAGGGAAGTGAAAACATTCCGTATGATTCTATATATTGATGGATACGTGTCATTACACATTCGTCCCATAGCATGTACAACACAAAGAGTGAATTCTAGGGTACATTATGAACTTCGCGTGATGATGATGATGTGTCAATGTGGGTTCATCAATTATAACAAATGTAACACTCTGGGGGAATGTTGATAATGGGGGAGGCTGTGCATGTGTGGGGGCAGAGGGTATACAGGAAATCTCTGTACCTTGTCCTTGATTTTACTGTGAATCTAAATCCGTTCTAAAAAATAATCTTTTTTTTTTTTTTTTTTTGCCTTTCCCAAACAGACTAGGAAAGGTTCTTGGATTTCTCATCACTGTTTCCCCGAGCCATGCGCCTGGGACTGCTGCACTGGATTCTTACAACACGCAGATCTGTCAGGAGCTGACCTTAGACAACCCTCTGAGGTTCCATGAGTACAGAATTAATCGGCTCCATCACTAACTAGTTTGAGCCGCAGGAAATAAGATCATCGTCCTCCAAACTGCCCTGGCTGCCTGTTTTCTCCCATGTGCGACTCAGGGTACTAAAGTCCTAAATGGCTTGGGCTCAGGACACATCTTCACTATGTACCTCTAAGGGGACCAAAGTCAGCTGGTGCGCATGCCCCTGCCAGATGGATCACACGTCCATAGCAGCTGGAGCTGTAGTTATTTTTGGCCCTGGGGCTTTACTTATAATTTAGTATCTCAGCTGTTTACTGCAGTACTGGATAGCTAACCTTCAGAGACCAGGGCAAGATAGCCTTTCAGCCGATCTGTATGCATAATATATATGCACACACTGACAATTCTTGCTTTCAAAAGATCTAGTTTAATCATCTGATGGCCAACTGTACATTTGAACCAAAAGGCCTGAACTTGGAAGCCCCGTTCTCTGGTTTTAGATATCAAATTGCACTAAGGAGAGAAAAGAAAAAGAAGGAGGCAAAATGAGTAAGAAAAAGGAGAAGAACAAACAAAGCATTACAATAACAAATTAAAGCTTGTTCAGAAGTTGCCTGGCAGTACAGAACCAAGAACACACTTCTCTTTTCAAACTTCACAGCCACAGTCACGGATAATATTTCACTGCTTGGCACAGAACCTACCACTTTACACTAGGACAATGAGTTCTCTCTTCCCCAGGTAATGATGAGCTTGTTCCTGAAATAAATGGCCACATGGGGTCATTGAAGGAGATTTACAGGCCTTTGGTGACTCTGGCTTTTATTAAGAGCAGGTAAGTCATCTCCTCCTCTGTTCCTCTCATGGCTCTTTATCCATTTAAACTGTTTAAGCTATGAGATTTTCCAATGTAAAATTTCTAGAACCAGTATAAGTTGAGCAAATAAATTGGGGACCTAGAGCAGTGGGTTGAGAATGGCTATCGAGAGGACACTGGTTTTTCTTGGTTCCTGTCTATTGGCTGCCACTGTACCCCAATCCCCAGGGGAGGAAGGGCTGGGCAGGACGCCCTGATGTGGGGTTCCTGACCTGTCAGTCCCTGACTCCTTGGCCTGGGCATGGTTTGCACATCCTTATGGCCACTTCTCCTAGGCCAATGGGTCCTCTAAACAGCACATGGGACAGTACATCTTCTCAGGTATTACAGGTACACCATCAGACCAAAAGAACATCATTCTTTTGGTTTTAATAACACTAACAGCAACCTGTCATGACCATAAGTTTGCCTGTGACTCAGAGGTGCAAAAGCAAAGTGGATGAGGCATCACTGTCATCTGGCCAGATCCCAGGAGGAGAACGGAACCACTTCACTACCTGCCCTATGTCGGCTTTATTTGCCAAGGACCAAACTATTGCAACAAAACCGAGCAGGACCAAAAGCGTTATGGAGGAGCTTGAAAAACAAACAAGGAAAAGTGCAAAAATTTTTTCAGCCAGATTGATTTTAGGACGAGGTCTGCTCGGTCAAATGCAAACTGCCAGTGAAGCCAGGCTCCTGGGACAAATGAGAGTATGTGTGTGGCTTTGGCTATAACAAAAACAGTGTGGCCAAGTGGAGAAGCAAAAACAAACAAACAAAAATAACAAAAAAAAACAACTCAAAACACACACGCAAAAAACCCAAAACTAAGCAAAATGAGAGCTATGTTTACTTTGGGGAAAATTAACCCATACCATGAAAACTAAAACTACAATTTATAAGCATTTTTTTCTTTTTATTACAACCAAGTAAGTTTTTTTCTATGAGTATATGATATAAGACTATGTTTAGAATTATCTTTTAATTCTGTTTAACAACAGAAATTATTCTCTGTTTGTTCTAAAAAACAGTTTCTTAATGTCAGATGTGACTACAGGCTTTTATTCTGAGCTTTTATTTATCTGCACTGTGTATGTCCTGGTACATATAGACCAAAGGCTGAATCTAAGGTTATTCTTGTTCATACTCATTTTTTAAATCAACCTAGACCAACAGTCGGTCCTGTCCCCAAAACAGAGACTCAGGATATAAGATTAAAGTGAGTATGGTTTTTAAGCATCCACATTTCCCTTTGTCCTGTGTATCTGCCTTCCTGTTTTATTCTCATTAAGTAATTTTGGCTGTAATACAGCATGTGTGATTTTCAGGAACACAGCACTGCACGTCCATTTCCCAAAAGAAACCCAAACATTAGTCTGAATTTTATACTGAGCCACACTGGTGAAAAGACTCTCACCTGGAGATAAAAAGGAAGTAAACTGATAGAAGATTTCGGTGTCCTTCTTCTGGCCGCTGTAGCCCACGATGCTGCCGACCTCGAGCGGGAAGGTCTTGAGCAGAGCACCGGTGGCCAGGTCGTGAAGCTGCAGCGTGTTCTTCACGTCGTGGAGGTAGCATAACACCAAGAAGTTAGACCGCACACAAGCTACCCATTCTGAAAAGATGAGGATAAAGATAAAGCCTCATGTAGTTTTTGAAAAGCAGGAAAAAGCATACTGATGTCACTGAACAGTAGTTCTTGAACTACCCATTGTGCTGTGCAGCAATGCGACTTGCGAAGTGATTTTACAACAGAACTGGTTTGAATCATTCATCTAGTTTCTACCATGTTCCTTTAATAAATGATTGTCATGGTCATGTCTGGAGGAAACAAAATGTTCTCCACCCTCGGCTAGGGGCTTTTGATGATCTAGATAATGTGTGTACTACATATAACACTGCCTCCTTATTTTGTGTCCCATATCATGCTACAGGAGATATAAGGAGGGAAACAGTAAAAACCAAATCTCAGTCCATTTCTGTCAAGTTTATTAAAAAGGTATTAAGCCCTTGGTATGTGCCAGGTACCCTGCAAAGTGCAGGGAGACAAGCAGGAAGGAAACGTCACGTCTGCTCTTAAGATCCAATCATATAAAAATACAAGTAACGTGTAAACAAAAGTAAGTGAGTGGTTGGCTGAGAACCCAAAAAAGTGAGGGCCTTTCAGCAAGTGCTGAACTGTGTGAAGAAGGGGGTACCCAGGGTGGTGTCAGTGGGGATGAGATGGCAGGACAGGTGACTCAAGGATAAGGATTATGAATGAACGAATGGACGCACAGCAGGAAGGATGGGAGGGAGGGAGACTGGTAAACAGAACAAGTGAGGGATCCGTTTTCAAGAAGAAAAACGTTGTTCAGTTCGGGGTGTGGTGGTGGCGGTCTGAAAGGGGGATTCAGTGAGCTAGAAAAGAGCAGAGTTTAGTTCTGACTTGACTTGTTACTGAGGAGCTAATGTTTGAACAGTGGGTGACATAAATAAAGACCACATCGTGAAGGATGTAGAACAATGCAGGTACACTGAAGGGCAGCGGGGAGGCCAGGAAGAACGCTACTGCAATAAGCCAATCAAATCACAACAAGGCGGGATCAAGTCAGCAGAGGGAAGGAAAGAAATGAAAGGCATTTCCCAGGAAGAACACCCTGCACTTGGTGACTGCAGGGATATGGAGAGCAGAGACAAGCTTCTCCTCAACAACCAGGGTCGCAGCTTCAGTAACGGTGGTGCCAACTGAAGTGCTGGGCGAGTGGAGGTGAGCGAGGTGATGGGGAAGGAGGGAACAGAAGGGCAGGCACGGAGCACAGTCCATTTCGTTCTGGACAAGATTAGCCTGAGGTAAGGACAGGCCACCCAGAGCGAGAGATGCTGTAGTGAAGGAAGCAAGGCCGGGGCTGCAGGAACAGCTCAAACATGTGGAACAGACAAGTCTTTCCTGGGTGTCATTGTGGGGGGTGTGGTGGTGGGGTTCTGGACACCGCTTAGTTTTATAACCCAAGAAACTAGTAGTTCACGCTTATAACATTATCAGTTATCCACACAAACAAGGTGTCTGCCAGAGGGAACTCTGAGGATCACTAGGGGCCTCAACCTCGTGGGGTTGTTTAGATTGCCAAGTAAATTTCTCACGTAAGGACATAAAGAACTCTCCCCTCTCTCCTCTTACATCTAAACACCATTTGCTCATTCTCCAATACAATTTTTTTTTAAGTACCTCAATCAAGCATTATAATTCATGGGGCCTTAATGTTTTAAAGAAAGTATAGGGGAAAAAACTGAAGTAAATGATTTCTGTCAAAGAAAATTCATCTGTGTTAACTAGGAGTATGTCAGAATTATAAAACAGACAAAGTGAATAAGAAAAGGACAAGGTGATTTATAGACTGTCATTAAGAAAAGCTCTGACTTTATAGTGATACTTTATGACTCATCTTTAGTTTTTATTCTCAATACGGCATTCTGTGCTAATAATATATAGCAAATTCAACTGTGCCTCTCTTTAAATTGACAAGTCTAGTGAATATTGAAGGTTTCCCCTTTCCAGTCTAAAGAACTTATAATCTTTCAGAAGGGAGGTTATAAAGATATATTGCCCCCCTGAATCTCAGAGCATTGATTTGCATTTCATTAGATCTACAACTGAAATAGGAGGTAACCTTAAGGCATAGTAAAACCTCTTTTGGGGGGTTTTAAAATACAGGAAAGTTACATGCCTTGGGAAATAGTTAAACCTCTGATCTCGCTATATGGGAATCACTGTTATAACCTGACTTGTACTTAAAAAACACCCAGGGCACCCTACATGAAGACTTATGCCACCAAAATCTCACTCCCTTGGATCTGCCAATACACGAGGTCAGTGCATGTGGCACTTGGTAAACACTCACTAAATACCAGCTATTACCACCCTTGGAGAGGGGGGCATTCTGTCTCAGTTTGGACAAAAGCCATTAGGTTACCAGGGTCACTACACACTAGATTCCTCACTTGAAGATGTTAAAGGAAATGGCCAAAAACCTGTTCCTTGACTCACGGATCCCTCATCCAAATATAAACGAGGGCCCCTGAGTGCATGGGATGTTTTGAAGACATAAGTGAACGAATTTCCTTGGAAAGAGCCCCATATCATGCTAGCAGTCCCCCAGTGGGGAGAAACCCAGCACGAGAGAGACAGAGCACCAGTGCCTAATCCGAACCTGAGAAGTTAAAGGGACCATGACGGGAACACGAGGAAGGCAGGAGAAGGGCTTATTAAGTGCTTTAGGGAGAGAGCCGGGGCTGGGCTGCTACTCAGAGGAGCAGATGTGGGTTCTGCCAGAAAGAGCAGGCATGGGGTCGTGGTCTGGGTCCTGTCCAATAGAGCTGCTTGGAGGGGTGTGAGATCCCAGTACAGACGAGGTGGAGGGGTGCAACCAGCTGTCCAGGGGCAGCGGCAACCCAGAGTACTGCTTCCTCCAGGGCCAAGGGAACTGCAGAAGGAAGGGCCCGGCAGGAGCGCCCATAGGAAGCCCTCCCTGAGGGGGTCAGCCGTAACCCTCTGTCCACTCAGCAAGGCCAGGTTAATACCTGTCAGGCACAGAGCGCACTGCCTTGAGCCAGCGGGGAAAGAGTCCCTCACTTTTCCGGGACGTGAACCTAGATCTGTCTGACTCCATCCAACACCTATGCTTTTAACTCACTGAAAACACACGTAAGGGCTGCTTTATCTGAGACAGGGCCACTTTGCAGATCTCAAAAGGAATTATTTTCCTAATTTTATACCTTATACCTTCCCATTTTGGGATGGCCCTGGCTTTTATCTCCATTCAACCCATCAGAAGTTTACCTCCAACACATATATTCTTCATTGGCTTGAAGATACCAGACTCTTCTTTTGTGTAAAAACACTGTAGCAAAATTAGTCTCATTCTAATCAAATCCAGCTTTCAGGCAATAAATAATTTACAAAGCAGCATATCATTTTTGGAAAATCACAGAGAAAATGAATAAAAGGGAACTTAAAGCCACTCTGAAACACGACTGCTTAGAGGAGAGATTCTCAAGAGGTTAATGCAGCTCAGAGCAGCATCTGCAATGGATTTCAATTAAATCTAACAACAGTCTATTCTCTTTTCTAGTAAGAGGACTGTAAATCCACCCCACAATCTACAACAGGTATAATACCAACAGCCAAAGGTTATTTAAAAAGCTGAAAGCTAAGATCCAAATGGTTTAAAAAATTAAATGTAAGTGACTATTATCAGACACTAACAACACAAAGCCAACTGATATATATATATATATATATATATATACATATATATATATATTTTTAAGTACTACCTTTGGAAGTCTGGACTCATAACTTCACAATTATGACAAAGACCCTGCATGATACTGTCCTAACTACAAAGATGTCGTGTAGTAAATACTTGGTTCCGCTACTTAAGACTCTTCATTCCTGACAATTAGAGGTCACCAGAGAAAGAGAGGTACCAGTGTGCTGAAGTCCTCACCAAAACCAAAAGCAGTTTTCCAGCAGCATGCAGTCTTACCTAAGACATCTTTCTCGTGCTCGGGAACAAGCACTTTCCATTTAGACTCCTCAGGGTCCGTGAAGTCAATGTTGATCAGGCGATAGTTGGGGGAATGGCGATTTGTCTTGAACGTGAACACTGTCCCCTCGTTGGTCACGTAGTCGTATTCTCCTTCAAAGTTGTCGATGAGTTTGACCCACTTCAGGATTCCTGGGGAGAGACCAAGCAGCCCTGTCACCAATCCAGTGTTTAAAATGGTGTGGTCTGTGTGTGGGGAAGGGACGGCAGGTCTTTTCTGTCCACAGAACACAAAGCAGACACATTATTTTGAAGATCTAAGGCCTGAGAAACAGCAAGGAAAAGTGTGGGTGAATGTTAAAGTTTTAAAAAAATTGTGAAGGAATATTTTTCCTGAAGAACCTGGCAATGAAGGAGAGTGGAAGGCCTCTCCCCTCAGCCCACCGCCCCCATGCAAGCTGGTTAAATCTTCTACCTGAGCGTGTCCCCAATCTCAGCACTTCTCTCTACCTCACACCATTCCAAGACTGCATTTCCCCCTGGGTCTATGGCAGTGGCTCTCAACTGGGGATGATTCCACCACCCCAGGGGACATTTGGAAACGTCTGAAGACATGTTTGGTTGTCACAACTTGGAAGGTGAGAGGAGGGTCACTACGGCATCGACTGGGTAGAGGCCAGATGCTGCTGACCATGCTCCAGCGCCCAGGACGGCCCCACAACAAAGCAGCAGCCAGCCCTGGTCTCTGGCATCAGCTTCCCGCCTCCTCTTCCCACCGCCACTCTTGATCTTTTCAGGACAGCAGCCACCACCATG